CTCGTCGCGCGAGCTGCAGCGGCTCGAGTCCATCTCGCGCTCGCCCATCTACACCGCCTTCACCGAGGCGCTCAACGGCGCGCCGACGATCGCCGCGATGCGCGTCGCGCCGCGGTTCGAGGAGGCGTCGGTTCGCCGCTTCGACGCAAACACGCGCGCCGCCTGCCACCATGCACGCGCCCTGCAATGAATGGATAACTCACGGCGTGCTCATGGACTCATCAAGGCGCGCCGCCTTCCTCATGTGCCTTCCTCATGTACGCGGAACGATCTCGGAACCTTCTCGGAACCTTCCCCTAGGCGCGCTGCCTTCATCATGTACGCGGCCAATCGGTGGCTGTCGGTGCGGCTCGAGTTCCTGTCCAACCTCCTGCTCGCGCTCACGGCGCTCCTCGCCGTCGCCTCGCACCTCGCAAACGGCGGAGGCGGCAAGGCGTCGGCCGGCCTCGCCGGCCTGGCGCTCTCCTACGCGCCGGGCATGACGGACACGCTCAACAACTTGCTGCGCAACTTCACGTCGCTCGAGACGATGATGGTCGCCGTCGAGCGGCTCTCGCAGTATGCGCAGCTCGAGCCCGAGGAGGCGGCGGCCAGGGCGCCGCCCTCGCCCCCCGCGGCGTGGCCGTCCGAGGGCGCCATCAGCTTCGCGGGCGTGCGGATGGGCTACCGGCCGGGCATGTCCGGGACACGACCACGACATGTCCGAGACATGTCGCATAGGCGTTCGGATGGGCTACCGGCCGGGACTGCCCGATGTCCTCTCCGACCTCCGCCTCGACATTGCGCCGCGCGAGAAGGTCGGGATCGTCGGCCGCACCGGCGCCGGCAAGTCGTCCATCCTGGTGGCCCTCTTCCGGATGGGCGAGGTGCGCGCAGGCGCCATCCTCCTCGACGGGGTCGACATCTCGGCGGTGCCGCTGCCGACGCTGCGCTCGCGGCTCGCAATCATCCCTCAGGACCCGGTCCTCTTCACCGGCACGCTGCGCCAGAACCTCGACCCCTTCTCCGAGGCGAGATATCCCCGAGATCACCCGAGGTCGCCCGAGGTCGCCCGAGGTCGCCCGAGATGGACCGAGGTCGCCCGAGATCGCCCGAGGTCGCCCGAGGTCGCCCGAGGTCACCCGAGATCGACCCCTTCTCCCAGGCGGCCGACGCGCAGCTGTGGGACGCGCTCGACGCGTGCTCCATCGGTGGCGCGATGCGCGAGCACCCCGATGGGCTCGGCAAGCCGATCGACGAGCGCGGCGCCAACCTGTCGATGGGTCAGCGGCAGCTCGTCTGCATGGCGCGGGCGCTGCTCAAGCGCGCGCGCATTCTCGTCCTCGACGAGGCGACCGCTTCCGTCGACATGGAGACGGACGAGCTGATCCAGCAGACGCTGCGCCGCGAGATGACCGACGCCACCGTGCTCACCATCGCCCACCGGCTCGACACCATCATGCAGGGCGACCGGGTGGTGGTCATGCACGCGGGGCAGGCGGTCGAGTCGGGCCCGCCGCTTGAGCTCCGCGACACGCCCGGCTCGCGCTTCGCCGAGCTGTGGAGCGCGCAACAGCAGTGAGCGCGCGTGCGGGAGCCCTGGCGGCTGTCGCGGGCGCCATGGGCAGAGAGAGAGAGAGAGAGAGAGAGAAAGAGAGAGAGAGAGAGTTAGAGAGAGAGAGGAGGCATGGTGCGTCGGCGTCTCTAGCTAGGCCCTCACTGCCCAGCTGGCGCAGCAAAGCCGTGACTGACCGCGCCTCTTTCATCTCTATCTGCGTATCTGTGAGACTGTGACACTGACACACTGTGTTCAATATCGGTGTTGGCAAAAGTCGGGCTCGGGGAGACGAACACTCCGAGGGCTCGGCGAGCGAGCGAGCCGAAGTAACAAGTATACACCCAGCACGCAGCAGACGCCAGAGCGCGCGGCGAGCCCGAGCGTCCTGGGGGGCTGCACACAAGCCGCCGCGCAGCTGCCCACAACACGCCCCCGACGAGCGACGTGCCAACTCGTTCTCCGTTCTCGCATTCAGTGCCTTCCACGCCCTCTTCTTTGAGAAGCCGCCCTCAGTGCTCAGTGAAAAAAGAAGTTTCACCGGCGGTGTGGGTAAATAAAACGAAAATACACTCTCCGCTTGGGGGAGAGTCGCAGTCGGGGGTGTGCTGCTGAGTGCTGTGAGCTGCTTGCGCGATTGCGCGTTGCGGTGCGCCTCTCAGAGCCCCTCTCGTCTGGCTCTGCCCCCCCCCCCAGCTCTGGTGCCACGGAGGTGCCACCACTGGTGTGGAAGTAGACGTAGCAGAGGACAGGAGAGAAAGAGAGGGAAGAGCTAGAAAGTACGTCTACTCAGGTACTCTGACCATCTCTCGCTGCGACGTATATTACAAGGGCGAGGTGTCAACCCACATGCACATGCACATGTGCATGTGCATGTGCATGTGCATGCACATGCATGTGAGAGCGAGCGAGCACCAACCTGCATGCACACATGACATCCAGACTCCACTCACCAGCAGGCACGAGGCGAAAGCGGACTCGGCTCTCGCGTCTCGTGTCTCTGCAGTTCTCGAGAGCCTCACGAGGTCACGCCAGCCAGCCGAGCTCCTGCAGCACCCGCCAGTACTGCAGCCCGTAGTGGCAGCCGAGCTCGACCGCGCTGCCGCCCGCAGTCAGGCTGATGTCGCGGCTCGTGACGAGCACCACGCGCGACGGCACGAGCATGCCACCCGCGGCGTCGCCGCCACCCCGCCGGGGCGGCAGCAGCGTGAGCTCCCACACCAGGGAGAGCGAGTTTGAGGCCGCGGAGGCGGTCTCGTACTCAAGGGCGGCGTGGCGCCTGCCCAGCAGGCCGCGCTCAAAGGCGAGGTCGTTTGCAAACTGCCCCAGCGACCCACGCCCGAGCTCTGAGGCGGGCGGCGCTCCCGGCCGCGGCACGAGGATCCGCTGAGTGAGCGAGTCTGGCACGACCGAGACGCCGGCGTCGCCCGGCCCGTACCGCCGCACCGCGTGGCCGTGCAGCGAAGAGGCGCCAGAACCGGCGATGGCGCGCTGCAGCGGCATCAGCTCGCCTGCGTGGTACTCCAAAGAGCCTCTCACACTCCTCAATGTGCCGGGCACACCCTCTCCGCACGGTGTGTGGTGGCTCGCCTGCGAGTAGCACGAGCTTCTGCGCATCGCCGAACGCAAACGGGACAGCCTTGTCGCCCGTCGCCTCGTCGACCAGGGTGCTCTCGTCACAGTAGCCGCAGAGAACCTCGCCCGAGGATATCGTCGCCGAGTCGGCACCGTCGGCGAGGCTGACAAAGAGGCCCTGGCCCGCGCCCGGCAGCCGCGAGTCCTGCACCGCCAGCGTCACGCCCGGGAGCTCGAGGGGCACCTCGACTGCCGCAGTCGCCCGCACGGCCGCTGGATGACGTGGCGCGCAAGCACGGAGGAGCAAGGGCTGGTCGAGGAAGGGCAGGAGGATCATAGCCTCTAGAACTCTGTGTCACCAGCACGAGCCCGCCCAGCCGGGGTGCGCACGTCGGGACACGATCCCGGCGTGAACACGACTAGCTGACGGATCCGCTCCTGTGACGGTTAGCCAAAGCGACTCCCAAAGGGTGGCCGCCACCCCCATACCCTCAGGCACTTGCCTACGCCCTGGCCGCGCATGCCGCGCACGCGCGCGCACGCCCGCGCACGCCGCGCACGCCCGCGCACGCCGCGCACGCACGCGCGCGCACGCCGCACTACGCGGCACTGCCCAGGTTCCCTCACGCTCAGATTCCCTCACGCTCAGATTCCCTCACGCTCAGATTCCGTGCAAGGGGGTGCCGAGGTATGCCGCAGGCCGGGATGGAGTGAGATATTGCGGGGCAGGGCGTGGGCTAGCGGTAGCGCGTGCGTGAGGGCGCAGGCAAGTGCCCGAGGGTATGGGGGTGGGCGCCACCCTGGGGCTACCCGTCCGTAGCATTGTCGGCTCAGTGATGGGTGTCCAACAACTGGGACACAAAATAATGTGGGCCTGGCTTCTCGCTTAGTGTGGGTAAACGAAAGTAGCGTATACGCTACTTTTGAACGAAGAAGCAGGTGTTCTTTATTTTTGCTTGGCCGGACGTCATGCCGGAACTTCAAAATAACATTGGCTAATCTAATCCTACTCATCACAACTCGCCAGGAACACCCCCACACTATAGGGTCATTATGTAGCCCTGCTTAGAAGGAAAAGGTTTACTGCAAGGCTCACCGTGTAGTCAGCCTTTCAAACGAACACCTACGAATACTTTAAAGTCTCGACAATCACTAAGCAGAGGCTCCCTTGGGGATGCCTGAGGCCACCCCAACCACTCACGAAGCCGTACGTGGACAATTTGAAACTTACTTTTTTCGTTTACCCACACTAAGCGAGTATAAAAGGTTCTCTTAGGCTCTTTTCCGCGCGCGCCCCCCGCAAGGCGCGCGATAGCCGATACACACACACACACAATGTTCCGAAGCAAAGTCTCGAGGTTCTCCAAGAGAGAGAGACTCACGTCAATAGCCCGAGAGACTCAATGCACAATGGGAGGCACCCCTCTTCGCTTGAGTGCAGTGTGAGAGAAGCGGCGCTAGCCGCTACTCAGGAGCGCGCCAGCGGCGCCGGGGCCTCGTCTCTCTGCGCTACACGCCTTTCAGCTCTTAAGAGCTCCACCACTGCACTGCTGCTCCCCACAGTAGAGCCGAATGTAACTCTGTTACTCTCTCTCTCTCCCCACGAATATTCCACAAGTGACAAGAGCCTCTCACAAACCATGAGGTGCACACGTCCTATTCCGGGGGGCATCGAGCTCCTCAATGTGCCGGGCACACCCTGCCCGCGCAGCGGTCGGGTGGTGGCCGGTGAGAGTGAGGAGCAATGCTCGTCATGGAGTCGCACATCCTGATGAGCGCCCATCGGATGTCGGGCTTCAGCGGCAGCCGCCGGTGCACTGGGCGGGAGCTGGCGCCGCCCAGCTGCAGCTGCCTCTCAAAGCTCTCGATGTCGTCATCCGAGCAGTCTCCCAGCACTTGCGCCTGCTGCTGCTGCTGCTGCTGCGGCGGCGGCAGCGGCTGCTCCTCCGCCACCACCGCCTGCAGCTGCTCCTGTCCGCCCTGCTGCTGCTCCCCCTCCTCCTCTCCCCGCTGCTGCTGCTGCTCCTGCTTCCGCTGCTGCCGCTGCTTCTTCTTCTTCCGCTTCTTTTGAGCCGCGCCACCAGCTGCGCTCTCCTCATTGATCCACGCCATCAGGCTGTCGAGGTTCGCGCCGGCGGCCTTGGCTGGGCCGCCGCACTCGCCGCTGCTATCGCTCCCGCTGACGGCGTCGTCCTGGCAGGGCAGCATCTGCCGCCGCCGCTCCTCGAGCTTCTTCCGCAGCCGCGTCGCCCGGTCGCAGCTACCCTTCTCACAGCAGGAGCACTGGCCGGGCCAGCCGCCTCCGGGATCGGCGTCGAGCGCGTCGTACAGTGCGATCTGGTTCTTCTTGTGCTCCGGAGGTGGCGGCAGCCTCTTTGCCCCCAGCACGCGGAAGTTCTCCTCCGTGGCCGCCCTGACGACGCAGTCGTCGTCCACAGGGCACCAGATCAGCTTGGAGTTTAGCCCGAACAGGCGGATTTGGTATGGCACGCGCTCCTCGCGGTCTTCCCAGTAGGGGTCGTTGTACCACTGCTGCGTGACGACGCCGTTGACCCACTGCTTTGACGCGACTGACGCGATCACCTCGTCCCCGACCTGGAACCGCAGCTCCGTCTCGCTACTGCTGGCGTCGCGCGCGTCGTCGTCGCAGAGCTTGCGGACCGACGAGGCTGGCACGGTGACGTAATAGTGAGGGCCGTCTTGCTCTCCGCTCGAAAGGTGGGCGGAGGCGGAGGCTGCTTGCTCTCCGCTCGAAAGGTGGGCGGAGGCGGAGGCTGCTTGCTCTCCGCTCGAAAGGTGGGCGGAGGCGGCGGCTGCGTCGGCGAGCTGCTCCAGCATGTATGTACAAGCAGCGAACGGCAACTTTGCAGAGACTGTCATGCTCGCGTGCTGGTGTGGTGCCCTAAAACCGCGTTTTCTTCTGTGACCGAGGAAACTTTTTTGTCGAAAAATCACATCGCAAACCCTGTGACCTCCGGGTAAGTTCGTGAGAGAGAGAAGCGACATATCATGACATTTGTGTATAATACATGTATACACACTGTGGCCAAAGAAAGAAAGAAAACAGACAAACCAAACGAGGGATAGGGGAGGAGGACAGGGTCCACACCTGCACGAGCAGGATTTTGGAAGGACGATCAGGGGGACAGGTGGGCTCTCCTGCTCCTGACAAGGGACACGACAGACAGGCTCGCAGCGCGGTGCACGGTGGAATCCCAACTCCACTGGCGGTCTCATCTCAGTCTAGCGACCTTCCTCCGGCTTCTCACCGGCAGTCTCTCACTACCACGGGCACACTGACACAGGGGTGGCAGGGGTGGCCAGAAAAAGCGCGCGAATGAGTTGTTTTTCCTACAGAAAGGGCACGACCGCACGACGAGTGTCTCGAGTGATTTCGTTTTTCTCGACGTCTTCGCCTGCGGGCCACTGGGCGGCGCGCCGCGCCGCGCGCGGGCCGCGGCCCTCACACACCGTTAATATAAATTGTCCATATGCCGAAAAAAAACCTGTCTGGAGTCTGTACTCTGATGTGTGAGTGTGTGATGTCTGTGCCGTGCGGCGTGCGGCGCCGTGTGTGTTCTGAGCGGTCGACATCTGGAGCTAGGCGCGTGTGCGTCTTCCCCCCTCATCCGTGGGTCGCAGACTCTGGGTCAAAAAACTGGGACGAGCGTTTGTGCAAAACTTGTTTGTGCAAAAAGCCGAAAACTACCAAAAAGAGCTACATACACTGGAATAAAAAAAAAACGCTGTCACGGCCAGCTTGGCACTATCTACTCAAAAAAAGTGACGTAGAGCACCCACTTTTAAAGCGTTCCGCGCACACACAAGGACCGCATGCGTGCGCCGCCAGCTTCCCAGGGCCATCGCGCGAAAAACGACGGAGGAGATGCATCCTAGCTGTCGCCACCGAAGGCGACTCGACGCCGCTGAGACCGGAGATCAAGCTCTGACAAGTCGCACGTCGCTCCTTTGACACCGACGTGACTCACCCGTGCAGAGAACATCAGTACACGGACTTGACGCGCTCGGTACGACGCCTGCGACCCGTCTTGGGTCAGGTGGCACGACGCTCATCGCGCCTACCAGCGCTGCCGTGCAGGTTGCCACGACGAGGTCGAGCACGCTTCTATACGCTCGCCCAGCCTTCCTTTCCATCCCATTAGGCAGCCCGGGAACGGTGGCGGTCAGAGGCAAAGCCTGCGAGGGGTGGTGGAACCACATGTCACGGCCACCGCCGGCTCGACGCGACGATAGCCTCCGGAGGCTGACTTTGAGGCACCATCATCGGACGATGTCGACGAGTTGGGTCGCTCTCGCGGTATCCAGGTAGCCCCCCATACTAGTAGCACCAGCCATGGCCTCAGGGAGGCGGGCGAGGGCGCTGGGAGCAACACGGACAAAAAACATCTCAAAAGTGGTCAAAAGGTCATTTTATGATACCACCCGTAAAGCCGTATTTGCAACTAGTCCTGGAGGCTTCTCTATAACAATTCTGTAGAGACTAGAGTCGGTTGTGCGCACACGAACTCCAACAGCGCAGCACTCTCTGCTCACTCAACCGACTGTGGCAAGAGCCCCTCGTTCGAGTAGAGGGCAGCGATGCCGCGGTGCAGCTCGAGGGCGTGCCGCTGCGCGTGCGACGCCGCGGCGGGCGTGTCCCACACACCGGGGTAGCGCGCGAACAGCGCGCGCGGCGCCCGCGCCAGCAGCCCGCCGATGGACGCGCCAACCTCGTGCAAGCTCTCTGCGCAGTTGGGGTGGAGCGGGCCGAGGAGAGCGCGCTGGGTGCGCCAGAGCTCGAGGGCGCTCTCGAGGAGCGCCAGCAGGCTCGGCGCACTCGGCGGCGCGCCGCTCTCCTCGAGCTGCAGCCGGATCGCCGCGAGCAGCTCGCGCCGGACGCGGGCGACGGCGAGGTGCCGCTCGCCGAGCTCTCGCACCTGTTCACGCAAGAGGTGTGAAGAGACGCTGTTCACAGGTGCCGCTCGCCGAGCTCTCTCACCTTCGGAAAAAAACGAAAGCAAACTCACGCGGACAACAGAACGGCGTGAAGACGCTGTCCGCTCGCCCGGCCCTCGCGCCAGCTCGCGCAGCACCGCCGCGCACGCCGCCTCGTCGACGCCGCCTCCCGGCCCCGCACGCGCCGCGCGTCGCACCGCCTCCCTCGCGCCCGCCTCGAGAGTGAGGGTGAGTTCGTCCGCCTCGGCCGCGCCCGCCTCGGACGCACTTCGCGGCGGCGCGTCCCACTCGCTGTGCCGCTCCGCCTCGCTCGTAAAGTCGAAGTGGTCGAGGTGTCTGCTGCACGCCGCGGGGGTGAGCTCGGCAGGCTGCGCGTAGCAGATGAGCACCTCCTGCCCCTGCGGTGTGAATGCGCGGTGTGAATGCACAACGCGTCGGAGTGTGCCTGCGGGCACTGGCCAACGGCACTCGCAGCACCGCGTGGACGGCGGAAGAAAGGGAGCGACTGGCGCGTGACGCAAGGGAACAGTGCGAGTGTCTTCGCGGTGCTGAACACAGAGATGTGGATTCGGCGTCTGCCGGGGGGGGGGGGGGGGGAGCCTGAGCGATGTGCCGCGTGGCTCGCACGACGCTCGTCAGCGTGCCGCCTGAAGACGAAAGGGTCCAATCATATGCTACGCCCCGAGTGTGGGTTCGGGGGGTCTTCGCAGCAGTGAGGTAGGGGATACCGTCAAGAGTGGTTTCTTTTTCCAGGGGGGTGAGCGTGAACGGTCGTATGTGTCTCTGCGTCGCTCCCTCCGTGCCTTAGTCAACCTCCGCCCTGATGTCGCGTGTGTCTAGTCGCTGGCCAGACACTCTGTTCCGCCTCTCTGTCTACTCCAGCTTGCCGGCACGCAGCGCGGCCTTGTCGGCGTTGGCGCGTCGCGAGGGCGCGTGGTTGAAGATGGACTGGTGCAGGAACAGGCCCGAGGCGAACGCGTTCCAGCGGCACACGAGGCAAAGCCGCAGCAGCTCGGCCCGCCTGCCCTCGTCGCCGAGCCCGCCTACAAAAAGAAAGCGTGTCGCCGCACGCGACGACCGCCGTGAAGTCCTGCCCTCCTGCCCTCGCCGCCGAGGTCGGCCGCGCCCGGCTCCTGCAGCAGCGCGTCGACGCACGCGCAGTGCTCCTCCTCCAGGCGCGGCCGGTCAAAGGCAGACACGCTGCGCAGCTCCATCGGGTGCAGCCGCGAGAGCGCGGCCAGGGCGACCCGTCGCTCCACCGCGCTGCGCCGGAGCACGGACTGCAACAGCGAGAGCGGCTCGTGTTCGGCTGACGGCCAGGGCACAAAGGGCTGCTCCCATATCAGGACTTGGCCGGGCGAGATGTCGCGAGCCGCCACGAAGCCGCGGCCCGACCCCGGGATCTGCCGCACCGCAATCGGGCCGACCACACGCGGAGGGTGCTCGGGCCACACACAGAGCGCGTCGGCGGTGTTGACGTCGGCGGCAGCGGTCAGCCGGGGCGGGACAACGACCTGATCGCCATTGGCATCCGCGAATGGCGCGAGAGCGTTGCGCTTGCTACTGGCGGCGGTGGCGGGCACAGCTGGTGCGGGTGCGCATCCGGCTGTGCCGACCGGAGACGTGGGAGGAGGGTCCCCAAAGATGGACCAGACGTCATCCATGTGCTCGGCGAGGCGGCGGGGCAGGCGAGCAGATCGAGAAGCGCACGCGGGAAGAGCCCTTGCACCGCGGTCCGAGGGGCAACGCTGTGAACACCACTCGCAACAGCTCTCGCGCGCCGCCGTCAGTGGCGATGCGCAAAACATCAACAACGCTGCTCGCAACATGCGTGTCGCGCACTCATTCATGACCGGTCTCAATGCCCCACCCCCCTGCGCGCGGGCCTTCTAAGCCCGCGGGTAGTCCCCCCCCATCCCCAGGGCCTCCAGGGCTCGCACCTCACAACCTCTCACAGGCCAGCGCACAGCGCCATAGGAGGTATTTTCTTCTCAATAACAAGGCTGTGAACAGGCGAGCGATGATGTGGCGGAGGCGCTCGCCCTCAACCCGCGGCTGCGGGGCGAGTAAAAAGTAGTGCGCCACTTTGCCGGCTGCCGGCAGGAAGTCTGCTCGCGCCCGGCAGCGAGCGCGAGGCCGAGGCGGCCGACCAGGCCGTAGTCTCGCTAGACAGAGGGCGTCGCCGCCGGCGTTCCCAGGTAACGGCTAGCCGGGGTCGGTGTGCGGCTGAGCGCTGAGGGCGGGGGCCGCCGCGGGGCCGCCACCCTTTAAGAAAGAAAGAAAGAAAGCAACCGCTCAGAGTCCAGGGGAAACGACTTCCCGGAAATGACTTCTTTTCTCTTTGTCCGCTACATCGAAGAAAGTTCACAAGAAAGTTGCCTTCATTCCAGGCCGTAGCCGTGTGCGTGCGTATCTGCATCCGCGATGACGCCGTGCTCCGCGATGCCGAGCGTCTCACCGTCCAGCAGCGAGGACATCGAGATGACTGACGCTGAAGCAACTTCGGTACACGCCACAGCACGCCGCAGCCATCGCCAGCCAACACAGGAGCGGAATCGGCGGAGGAGCGTCAGCTTCAAGCAGTTCCCTCTCACAGAGGTGGTTCATCGCGTGCCCAGCTGATTTTAAGGTGATGAGGAGGACAACCCTTGACAACCCTTAAAATCCCTGTTCCGTCCTCCCATCCCTCCCTTGCGATGTCTGTTTTCTGTCTTTCCTTCTTTCTTTTGTGATGATGATGTGATGGATGCCCTCTCCTGTGTGTGTGAGTGAGTATATTCTCGACTGTCTGTGATTGTGCGTCGTGGGTTCGGGGTTGCTCTTTTTGTGTGAGTGAGTAAGAAAGAAATAAAAGAAAACAGACCAACCCAAACGAGGGATGGGGGAGGAGGACAGTGAGTATATTCCTCTCCCGGTGTTCGAGTTCAACTGGCTCAACTCCCCTGAGCGTGCCAACTGGGTCAACGACGTCAAGAACAAGCAAGCGGCAGACGTCCTCTTACCCTCGGCCCCAGTGGAGGGCGCCCGTACCGCCTAGCTCCGCGGACGGGCCCCTCCACCCTTCACGTATACGGATCATGTAGTCCCCACAATCGCTGTCGTGGGGTCGCTTGTCATGTGAGAGAGGTAAGAAAGAAAACAGACAACGCAAGGGAGGGATGGGAGGACGGCACGCCGCCACCACACAGGGATTTTAAGGAGAGGAGTGTGGTGCTAGCCGTCGCCCACCCTTGGGCGTCCGCCTCTTCCTGTCTCTCTTCGCAGTCCCTCGCCGACTCTCGCTGCAACCTTCATGCCACCCCGCGGTCGTCCCACTCTCGTCGTTCTCTCCCTTGTCGCTTCCTCCTCTGTCGCGTCGCTCTCCTGCTCTGCCTCATCCTGCGACGGTGCCGCCGCCTGCCGATCCCTTGCTCTCGCTGCTCGGCGCAGCTCTGCCCTCCTCGCGGCATATTTTGGCCCCTCGAGTTTATCGAGCTCTCCTCGCGCAAGGACGACTCGACTCTCTTCTGACGCCCACTGCGATCATTTGCCGCCAAGTCATATCGTTGCTCAGGTCCACTCTCTCTTCGAACACTTGTGCCTTCACGGATGATGCCGGCGCTGGGGTCCCCGTCGGGTGCATCGTGACAGCTGACGGCGGGATTTCCACTGGCTCGTCCTCCTCGGAGTCGTCTTCCCCGGCTTCCTTCCGCTCGGCTCTACGTTCATTACGTTCATCGTGGCTCACCCTCCATGCCGTGAACAGGCGCTTTATCCACCCTATATTCTTCTCTCGTTCCTCTGCCCGTGCCTTGGTCTTGTCGTTGTTTCGCACCCATGTCTGCATGGCAGTCGAGGCTGCCTTCCCCACTACCTGTAGTTCACTCGTCACCTCTCCTGCGAGCTCCCCTCTGCCCTCTCTTTCTCTCGGGTATGGAGTCCGTGAGTGCGGGCAGCGTGCAGGCAATCACGGGCGCTATTTTGTCGTACTCCTCTTCGGCGAGCGCTCCAAATCTAGACCCTTTCGCCTTTAAGGAGGCTGCCCTCGCTCGTCTCAGGAATGTGGCGGTGTCTTTTGAGTCCGGCGCCTCCCGTTCAACTCTTGCTGTCGCCCTCGCCGCGTGTTTGTCAAGCTTCCGCAAGAAGTAACGCGCCTCTTCCTTATTTCCAGCGCAGCTGCCGCTCAGTATGTGCGCCAACGACGCCTGCGGTGGCTGACTGTCTTCTTGTTTCCAGTCGTCCCAGTCTCTCAGTTCTCCGAGTCTCCTCCTCGCCTCGCGCGCCTCTTTTTGTGGCCTCATCCCTAGCCGCCTTGCACGCTCTGCATCCCCCAGAACGCACTTCTCGTGGCGGGGCCCCTCATTCCCCGTTTCTTTTCCCCTTCTAGAATGCGCCTGTGGTGTGCCCCATGTGGCACCCCGACCTGTTGTCTCACCCTGGCTCCCAAGATCGTTTTGGTCGTCACATTGTGACCCCCGACGTCGTCGAATGTCGCCCGCCTGTCCTTTCCCCGTTCTCGTCTGGTAATCGCATCTTATTATCCCATCGATGCTTCAGGCTGGCTACAGCCACTTCGCTCCACAACCGTCCCGCCACCCCTGCCGTGTGCGATCCCGGCCTCACCGTTTTTCGATATTGCTCGCACACCCACTCGTGCGCGCTCTTACACATGTGTCCGTACGTCCGTCGGTCCACTATCTGGGACTATCTCCCTCTTCTGACTTCTCCAAATGACGTGTGAGTGTTAGAGTTGTTTGGTATTGCTAAAAATCTCTTCTCTGTGTTCCCTGCCGCCTCCCTTCGCGCCGTGTACATGCATGGCCGCGTCCGCACCGCGTCCCGCACCACTTTCGAGGCGTCCTCTGTGTCGTTATCCCCGAGCCTGTCTGAAAGAAAGAAAGAAAACACGCAACCCAAGGGAGGGATGGGAGGACGGCACGCCGCCACCACACAGGGATTTTAAGGAGAGGTGTGTGATGCGCTAGCCGTCGCCCACCCTAGGGAGTCTGCCTCTTCCTATCTCTCTTCGCAGTCTCTCGCCGCTTCTCGCTGCAACCTTCATGCCACCTCGCGGTCGTCCCACTCTCGTCGTTCTCTCCCTTGTCATTTCCTCCTCTGTCGCGTCGTTCTCTTCTGCCTCGTCCTGCGACGCGAGTCTGCTAAAGAAAGAAAGAAAACACACAACCCAAGGGAGGGATGGGAGAACGGCACGCCGCCACCACACAGGGATTTTAAGGAGAGGAGGGTGTGATGCGCTAGCCGTCGCCCACCCTGGGGAGTCTGCCTCCTCGTATCTCTTTTCGCAGTCTCTCGCCGCTTCTCGCTGCAACCTTCATGCCACCTCGCGGCTGTCCCACTCTCGTCGTTCTCTCCCTTGTCACTTCCCCCTCTGTCGCGTCGTTCTCTTCTGCCTCGTCCTGCGACGCCGCCGCCTGCCGGTCCCTTGTTCTCGCGGCTTCTTTCGCCTCTCGGCGCAACTCCGTCCTCCTTGCGGCGTATCCTGGCCCCTCGAGTCTATCGAGCTCCCCTCGCGCAAGGACCACATTTCTGACTCCCACTCCGATCATTTGCCTCCAAGTCATGTTGTTGCTCAGGTCCACTCTCTCTTCGAACACTCGTGCCTCTACGGATGATGCCGGCGCTGGGGTCCCCTTCGGATGCATCGTGACATCTGACAACTGAATTTCCACTGGTTCGTCCTCCTCTGAGTCATCTTCCCCGTCCTCCTTCCGCTCGGCTCTTCGCTCGGTACGTTCGGTGTGGCTCACCCTCCGCGAGTCTGCTAAAGAAAGAAAACACACAACCCAAGGGAGGGATGGGAGAACGGCACGCCGCCACCACACAGGGATTTTAAGGAGAGGAGTGTGGTGCGCTAGCCGTCGCCCACCCTGGGGAGTCTGCCTCTTCGTATCTCTTTTCGCAGTCTCTCGCCGCTTCTCGCTGCAACCTTCATGCCACCTCGCGGCCGTCCCACTCTCGTCGGTCTCTCCCTTGTCACTTCCTCCTCTGTCGCGTCGTTCTCTTCTGCCTCGTCCTGCGACGCCGCCGCCTGCCGATCCCTTGTTCTCGCGGCTTCTTTCGCCTTGCGCAACTCCGTCCTCCTCGCGGCGTATCCTGGCCCCTCGAGTCTATCAAGCTCCCCTCGCGCAAGGACCACATTTCTGACTCCCACTCCGATCATTTGCCTACACGTCATGTTGTTGCTCAGGTCCACTCTCTCTTCGAACACTTCCGCGAGTCTGCTGAGAGAGAGAGTGTCGGACGTAAAATTCTTCTTCTATCAATGCTGTGAACCGACGCGGTGCGAACCCTCCAAATCGTGACTCTCTTCTCGCGGATCGCTCCCCCGTCCAACTGGTGTTGCCGAACCATGCCGGCATACGCGCGGCCACGCGCGCGCGCCATCGAGACAGTCGGTCGCAGCGTTGGGCGGCGGATCCGGCCGCGCGCCGACAAAATGTTTGAGGATATCGAGCGCGCGTGGCACCAGGTCGACGGGTACGGGCAGGTGTGCGGGCGGCTGGCGTCCAAGCTGGTGCCGCTGCTGTGCGGCAAGCACAAGCCCACCTACCAGCCGCAGCGCGACATGGGCGACTATGTCGTCGTGACCAACGTGGCCAAGACGGTGCACACGGGCAAGGCGCTCGACCAGAAGCGGTACTACCGCCACTCGGGCTACGCAGGCGGGCTGAGCTACGTGACGCTGCGCCAGCTCATCGCCAGCAACCCGCTCGAGCCGCTTCGCCGCGCCGTCTACGGCATGCTGCCCAAGAACAAGCTGCGCGAGCAGCGGATGCGCCGGCTGCGGCTCTACCCCGGCGCAGAGCACTCTCACGGCGCGCAGCCCTAGATGCTGAATACCGACCCCAAGGCACGTGTTCGGCCGTGTCCGGCTGTGCTGCAGGCGTACTCACTGTACTCCGTAGCCCCTTGTAAGCCCTCTGCACGCGTCCGTCTTCCCGCCCTGAGCTCCCTGCTTTCGTCACTAGGTGCGCAATTCAAGCCGGGCCTGCCCGCCTTCACCGCCGAGTTTGACCACAAGGATTCACCCGCCGTGCTCAGACCAGTCACGCGGGACGAGACGCCATGAGGGCAAAGAGCAGAACTGGGGGAGGGGGGGGCGAGCGAGCGCCCCTGAGCTGCCATCGCACTTACAGAGCTTACACATGCACAATGTATTGCACAGCGTTGTATTGCGCGGCGGCGCGCGTGTGGTTGATGTCTTTAGCCGTGTATGTGGAAGAAAGAGGAGGCGCGTAAAAAACGTCCCCGAGCAGCGAGCTCGCATAACCATAAGCGATAGAGGTTAAAGCACATCATTTATTTTTCCCGAACAAGCCGCGTAACATATAGTAACAACAAACAAGCGCAGAAGCGGCATGGGCGGCCATGGCGCACATGCTCAACGAAGGGGCGTGTGTCGTGTGAGAAAAAGTCGACCCCGCGCCATACCGAAGGTCCGCTCTTTTTTTAATCTTTAAGAGAGGTCTCCAGCAGCTACGTATGGTTTGGGGGCACACGCGTCATGACTTGCGCGTGTCTTCGAGGTCGAGCTCGGCGAAGAGCGCGCGCAGCTGCGCGACCACCTGCTCCATCAGCGGGATGGCCACGCGGATGTCGCTGAAGCAAGCGCTGCGCCGCACCGCCTAAGAGTGAGAGGCGGTAAGGTGGGACACACACACAGCGTGGTGGTGGTGGTGGTGGTGTGGTGGTGGTGGTGTGGTGGTGGTGGTGTGTGGTGGTGGTGGTGTGGTTCGGGCTCGGGTTGAGGTTCGGGTAATGGTTGGGGATGGGGGGGGGTGGGCGGTGAGGTGGGGGGTGGGGGGTCCTTCGAGGAGAGGTGGTTGGGCGACAGGCGCGCGACAAACTCGTCCCTCGACGGCACCTACTCTCGCGCAATCTCGCGTGATCTCGGGTCGGCTCGGCGGCGGTGGCACCGACTCGTCCTCCGACGGGCACCGCTGCGAGGGCCATCGAGAATGTGTTTTTGAGCAGCCAGCCGTGGAAGGGCTCGAGGATGGCGCCGTAGGCGGTGCGACACTTGGACGAGAGCGACGCGCTCGTGTCGCACACCCCCTGCATCACCCCGACATAGTACTGGATCGTCCTCCGCATCCAGAGCAGCGCCATCGCTGCGGACGGGTCGGCGAGGACAGCGCCTACTCTCGGGTACTCCCGGGCTACTCTCGGGCACTCTCCCCGCTGCGGACGGTCGGCGAGCACGGCGCCCGGCTTGTGGATCCCCGCCTCGCGCTCTGACTCGAGCAGCTGCCGCACCGTGCTCACCCTGCCGGGCTGCTGCTCCGCGAGCCGCGCCCACACCTTGCGCACCTTTGCGACGTTGGACTCGTCGTTCTTGACGGAGAGGGCCATCAGCGGGCCGATGGCCTCGCCGAGCCGCCGGAGAGAGGCGAAGGCGGAGAGCAGCGGCTCGAGTTGCACCTGACCTCGGGTCAATCTCGGGTGACCGGGAGAGAGAGAGAGAGAGAGAGAGGGGGGGGGGGGGAGGGAGAGAAAGAAAGAGAGGGAGAGAGGGAGAGCAACGGCATTTAATGCTCCGGACCG